TGTTCTCGCCTCCCGCGCTCCACACGCGCTACCGGGCCGGGCTCTGCTCCGCCGCGGCGCTGGTGCTGTTGCTTATCACGGTGCTTACCTATGTGCCACCGCTGCTGGTGGCCTACCGGAGCCACGGTGAGCGTCACTCCACCCCACCCCACCGCACGGGGCGGGGCGCGACCCGGCCCGGCGCGGCCCTGAGGCCTCGCGCTGTCTCTGCCCGCAGGTTTCTGGCTGAAGCAGAGCGCGTACCTGGAGCAGCCCACTGTGCGGTTCCGGTACGAGGTGCTCTTTGTGGCCACCATCGGGCCCGGCCCGGGCAGCTTCTTGGCGTGGAGCACGTTCCCAGCGTTCAACAGGCTCCAGGAGGACCGGCTGCGAGTTCCACTCGTGTCGGTAAGCCTGCCCGGGCGGGCCCGGCAGTGGTGGTGGGAAGTGGGGCTGGAGAGTGGGACCAGGGGAGTGGCAGCGGGCCCAGGGGATGAGTGCTGGCAGTGCCTGTGAGCAGGCAGCCTATCATGCACTGCTGCCTTCAAGTAGCAGCTTCATGCATAACCTCGTGCCTCGCAGCAAAATTAGCTTGGGACGAGTGATGTTTAACTCATCCAGTTTTACTCCCTCAGCGTTATAGAATCATAGAATCGTTTAGGTTGGAAAAGACCCTTAAGATCATCGAGTCCAACCGTTAACCTAGCACTGCCAAGTCCACCACTAAACCACATCCCTAAGCGCCACTGGTGGTTTGCATGAACGTATCAGTTTACTTTCCTCAAATCAGTTGTGCCCCCCGCCCCTTGCTGCCATATGGTTTATCATCATCTGAAGTTTGCGGGGATTGATAGGTAGCCCCGGGTTTTGAAAGCAGGTATGTGTTTTCTAAAACACATAGCCTCTGCCCTGCAGCCATTGTTCCTTCTGGGATTCAACAGTGGCAGTTATTTTTCTGCATTACCTCTGTTATGAGTCCTGTTATGCTTGCAAATAGCTGAAGTACTGGGCATTTCTGGCACAGAAGTGTAGCAAGCCTTGGCTCACAACCAGGCATTGGCATACAGAGGCCATTAAGAGGCAGGCTGCAATGGCAAGAGGCAAAAGCCTGACCATCAGTCACACATTTGCACAGGATGTGACGGAAGATCCAGCACCAAGGCATGCTTTGCAGCATGCAGGGGACATGGTTGGAATGGCATAGGGCAGAAGAGACCTTGAAGAGTCTGATGAGCTGTCCCTCCCCGGGGGGCATATGAGGCATTGTATAACAGACAAAATTGCAGCCTTCTTGCTTGTCTCTAGTCCTGTGTCTATAAAGTCAAGCAGCTTTTTATTGCTTTCCTAACTATGCAGTTTATTTGCTTCTTTAGTATGTACATGCTGCAGTTGTGGAGATCCCCTGGGGTTTCACCTTTTTTGTTTTTCTTTCTAACAGAAGTTCCTGTCTTTAAAAAAATTCTTACTGATTCTTTTAGACTAGAGAAGAAGACAAAAACCAAGATGGCAAAATGGATCAGTTGCATTTTAAATTGGAACTTCCGCTACAACCTACAGAGCATGTAGTTGGTGTTCAGCTGATTCTACTCTTTTCCTACCAGCTTTATGTGAGCATTTTTAGTTTTATTTGTTGTGACATACAGACCCAGTGTAATATTCCAGTAGTGGTTACGCAAAGGATGAAAGAACCTTTCCACATTTGGAATTCCTATCTAAAAGATTTCTTTTACTAACAAATATTTAATTTTCTCCTCCTTTGCTGCATCATTCCTAGTCTAGCTCTGTTGCATATTTTGATATGTTTCGTTAGATTTTGGGGTTTTTCTGAAGCTGTGTATTCTCTTGGGCTGTAGTGCAGCACAGAGGACAGAGATGCACAGCAGTGGATATCAGTGTGGGTGGCATCAGGAAACAACTGAGAGAGTTATTTCTCTCAGGAGAGTCTTGCAGTAGGCAGAAGGACGTGCATTCTTACATGCTGCTGTGTCTTGACATAACCAGTTAATTTTCTGAGGTGGAGGGGCAGGCTGTAGCAGCAGCCTAAAACCCCATTGATTTTGCTTACTTAACAGCTCTTGAAGCAATGGTAATCATCTGCCAGGATCTTCCGTATCTTGTAACTGGGAGGGGGAAGAAAGTGCTATAGGGAGACGGGAAAATAAAATTCCGCTGCCATTGTATCTCAAGTGGCAGTGCAATTAATACCTAAAGCATTGAGTAAAACACTAGTGCACAGAGAACCCATGGATGCATCTGAAAGGAGAAATAGTATAGAGCTGTGTTGGCTGCAGCCACACAGACAAGAAGTTGTTTTACTAGGGAACTTAGGCTTCATTTATCCAAGAGACTCTTGCTGATTGCAGGTGGACAAGCTTAGCAAGCATAGCTGTGTCATGTAGAAAACATTCTTAAACCTATGAGGCCCAGACTAAAGGCCCGGCAGTCCTAAATTTGTGCTGAATTATTAGGTCAGTGATTAGTATCACAGAGAGTTCCAATATTCACAACACCTTTGTTTCACAGTAAATATGAAAATTTTTGTTCAGATTGAGTGGTTGATAGGGCTAAGGAACTTCCTTGTTTGGTCTTTATTGCAGAGCAGGAGTCCTTAGCTGGCTTTGACTGCTGAGTATTTTAAAGTGTGTCTCAAATTAATGTGTTTAGTCATCTTGCTGCTTTTCAGATGTTATGGCAAGTCAAATCTTTCTGTCATTAGCCACAGACTGTTGGACTTCACTGAATTTCCTGTGGAACTTTGGCTTATAAAGTTAGTTAACTAACAAATAAGGGAGTTCACTTAAAAAAAAAAAATCATATTTCTTATTTGGTGTTCCCGTGTTTAGACTAATGTGACAATCTGAAACTTGGGAGTCAGAAAAAAATCAAGTCCATGCAGAAACAAAGAGGTAGGAAAGTGTGTTATGTTTCCCCCCCGCGCTAAATTCTCTTTTCTTGTGTTCACCATTTCAGCGAATGTCAACACTCGTGATGCAGAGCATGGCTTTTCTTCAGTTTTTTTCTCCTGTGCCAGGGTCTCAGCTCTATATGAATGGAGACCTGAAATTGAACCAGAGGCAATTACTTAACCATTGTGGACTGGATACCAGATACAATGTGAGGAAACTTTTTTTTCCTTCCCCATCAGTTTTCCTCCCTCTTTATCCTCCTAGTACCATAGGTGACACCCTAATTATTTGTACTCCTGCACAGAGTGGACCCTAGAACTTTGGAACTGGTGTTTTCTTGTTAGGCTGAAAGGTGGAAGAGGTTATTCTGCCAAGATGTTCAGTCTGATGTTTAAGTGCATTCCTTCAAGGGCATGGTTATTTTGTGTAAGAAACTCTGTAAATTTACTGTCTTGAAGAGTGTACAAATAATGCAAGTATTTCCTTGTTGTAACAGGTGTCTGTGGTCAATGGCACAAGTCCTTTTGCGAGTGACTATGATCTAACAAACATCATTGCAGCATATTGGGATAGAAATGGTAAGCCTGGATGTATAGCTGCAAATTACAGGACAGCAGTAGTTAGCATATTAGCAGCTGTTCTGTGAGGATTTGAGTTCTGTATTAAGACTGAAAAGCCCCTTAACCTGGATGTTTCCTTTTCCCATTTTAGTGACAACAGTCTTTTCAGATCCCAACCCTGTTTGGATGACTGGAAGAGCAACAGATACACCATTTATCATTAACGCCACTGTTCGTTACCCAGTGGAAGTTATCTTATATCCTTTGAAAGCTGCATAAACTGTGACGTAACTGGGTTGCATTATTTGGGCCTTCACATATAGGCCAAATGGAAACTGTTTTCTGCTAGACTTGTTGCTAAACTTTTCCTTTGTTAGCTAAGCAAATGCTATAGTCCTGGAGTTAACTGAATACCTATTTGCCCGTTCCTCCAGATGGTTCTGCGTGCATAATCACTTTTTGCCTTTCTTTACTGGGAACCTGCGTCACTCGTCAGCCTTACTAAACTGGCCTTTAAGGCAGTTTCTTAGCCATTCACAGTGAATATCCTTAGTAAGTCTTGCTTTGCTCCTGCAGAACCTGCTGTCCCAGTCTGTCATGGATGCCACTAGCAAAGCACAATACTGTATTCTGTGACCTAAAGCAAATCATTAGAGATCTGTATGCAAGGTAAGCTCACCAAATACTAACCCCCGCAGTGGATGTGGCAAATCTGTTACATGCGCAGACAGACCTGAATTTTTTTTTCTACAAAATAATTCTTTGTTCATTATGTTCTTTACTCATTTTCTCAGACAGGAACAAGCCTGTGTTTAAAAGAATCTGTATGGAGCACATTTCTTACAAGGTTTGTTTACCTGCCTGAGTATTACCAATAACTACTTTCTGGTGAGTCAGGGACACAATAGGCACTTTCCACAGAATTGGTTTAAATGTCTTCTAGGACAGACATTCTCTGCAGCTTTTGTTACATACTACTGTAAAAGGCTTTTAGGGGTTTCCGTGGCTCAAGGGCTTTGCATTTGCCACACAAACTGATGTCTAATGAGTTTTGTGCCTTTCCACACAAACTGATGTCTAACGAGTTTTGTGCCTTTCCACCTCTGAGTTCCTTTGTTTAGTTATTGCAGTGGTAGTATCAGAAGCTTCTTCATTCTCCTTGACTTTCTTTAAATATCAGCCAGGATTCTGGGAAATGATTAAATTTGCCTGGATCCAGTACGTCAGCATTCTCCTTATCTTTCTTTGGGTGTTTGGTAGGATTAAAATGTTTGTGTTCCAGAATCAGGTGTTGACTACAACTCCAATATCACCAGTTCTGCCGGTGTCTCCAGTACTGTCCTACAAACAGCACCAGTCCTGAGGAGATGCCTGAGAATACTTTAAAGAAATGCAGTTCAAAAATAGATACCTGCTTTTATTCTCTATACACTTTTTACTTTGGAAGATCAGAACTTTGTAAGTATGTTCCAATGTTCGTGCTTCCTTTCTAAAATACATGTTCATTCATCTGTTTCTCTGGGAATGCTGCTTTGGGACTGAAAATGTTAATATTTTTGACAGTTAAGGAAGAACCTAGTTATTTTTTTGCAACCAGAACATGCTTCAAAAACCAGTAAAAAGCAATGAGAGTGCTTTTGCATGATCTTAGCTTTGCTAAACCTTGAAGACTGAAAATAATATGCGAACAGTAACAACATAAGCCATCTTTACTGTCTTGTAAATGAATTCACTGCTGAGTTAGAGTTCTGTCAAGAGCTATTTGTACATGCATTTATGTGCACGATGAAAAAATATAAGGAATGTGAAAAAATGTATGGATGAGTTAGTGTTAGAGCCACACTTCTGGAACTGTGGCTATATGTGCTCACTGATTTAGTTATTAAATTGGATGATGGATAAATTCAAGGTTGATGTGAGAAACTGGGTTGTGGGTGATAGCGTCTGCAAGGTTTGCACAATCATTCACTATTGGCATTATTACTGTAGCACTAGACCATTAATTGTGAACTGGGAAGAGTAAAACAGAGAACTCTGGTATTTATTTAAAGAAAACTAACAAAAAACCTACCAGAGAAGCTGCAGAGTTCCAAAGCAAGTGAATAATTACTTTCAGAACTTAAATGATAACTTAGAACAGATAAAAATTAAGTCAATTATAATCACCTGGTGAGCACTGAAAAACTATATCCCTCATTCTTCATGGGGGGGTAGTGGTACAGAAGATAATTTTCTCTTTCTGGGCTTAATTTTTTTATGCCAGACAAGCTTAAAAGGGAAAACAACAGAATTTCCATTGTGTTACCAGTTTTGTAGTTAAGATTTAATTCTAGCAAAGCAGTGTTATGGCAGGAGGGAGTCAAAAACAATCTAGATGCTAGTTGACAAAATTCTGAGTGTCTTTGCTTCTCGAGCTCTCAAGACATGGTGCAGCTATGAAATGTGAAAGAGCAGCTTATACAGCAATACCCCATTTTTTGGCCGTTGTCCTCTAGAATTCAACATCCTGGCAGTTTGGAGACCTGCCTATTCCTTTTTCTTTTCTCCTTCTCAAAATGGCCAGCTTCTTTTTGAACTTCTGTTTAAGCTTATTTTAAACTTCGTAGTCTTGGAGCTTGCATTTCTCCCAACTTTTACATGCTGGAGGGACTCCAGCCTATTCTTCAATGCAAGTGAAACATTAATGTGGGGAGCCATGTCTTGGTTATTTAACACACTTTGTGCTTGTGAAACTTATGTGAATTGTAAATTATTGCAAGGAGCATTCACTGTATATACATGTATATATTTTGGTTTGAAATCTCCAGTTTGCAATTTGATCTTTGAAGTCTCTACCTGGCAGCCTAGGACTACTGATAATTGGCTTTGTATCAGAGTGCAGAGTCAAAGCAACTGTCTACTGCTTTTTAGTGTTTCTAGGCACTACACAGGATGAACGAAGGGGCCTGTGAGCTTGTTTCACCAATATCTCAAGCTGATGTACATCTGGTCTGCTGTAGTCCCAGCTCTTCTCCCTTGCAGCAGTGATAGTGCTTGTGTGACTGCATGAGTTAATTCAGGGAGTTCATTATGGTGAAGATCATCTTTACCAAATATACTCACTCTTTCAGACAAGTCAGTTCCCTGAATGAACTTGGTATGTGTCTGCACAAGCATTAGGGTGGGCATAAGCGAGGGATAGAAATTTCTGGAGAGACTATAGAACCCCAATTTAACGGTATGAGCTGTTGTACTCCCACAAAAATGGAATGCGTAACAGCCCTCCAAGCTGAACAGAAGCTTGTTTAAGGTAGCAACTGGAACGTGAAAGAGGATAATGTCAGAAAACAACAATAATACTGGGAGACTCAGTTATCCCTATCTCTCTTTTCTCTCCTATTGTATCCTTCCACATTAAGTTACGACAAATGATGCTGCTCAGAGCAACAGTTCAGTGAATGCATGGGAGGTAAGAAATGGTGAATAGGTGTGGTTCAGGAAATACAGAGAAAAATATCATTATGTTCTATTTTCCTTTAGAAGGAGAAAGCTGGACAAAATCCTCTACAGTAATTTAAGAGGAAACCTATTTAAGTTAAAAGGAGGAAATAAAAAAGAGTTAATTGCTTGGAAGTATCATGTGACTGTTCAGTATGACCTGAAGCAATCCCTCCATTTCTTTCTTTCGAAAGAGGCGTGTTTCACGACTGGGACTAATAAGTGAATGCAGTGTAAAAGGAGCAGTAAAGTCGGATGTGACTACAGCAGGGAAAAACACCAAACCTGTTTGTGATATCTCTGCTGTGGTAACTTCCTGGATCACTTTTATGCTGACCATAGTTCTTGGTTCATAGTTCTGACTCCTTTTTCAAGCTTGGAGAGGCATTCTACTTCTGTAAGTAACCAAGCTATAGAAAAAAGGTAGGTAAGATTTTATGGCTGTAGCAGTAAACTGAAGTACAAATTAAAAAATATACCTGAGAATGCCCTGCAGCTAGCATTAAAGGAGCTTTAGGAAGGAGGCGTCTTTCTCGGAAGGCTCTCTGTAAGGGCTCCTCCTTTAGCTTGCTAAGCAACAGAAAATAAAAATACCGCTGCAATCCACCACGGTGCTACTACACAGATCTGTGTACATGTGCCAGAGAGCAATCTAAATGCTATTCATTGAGGAAGGATGCAGAGGCATGTTAGGATTAATCAGATTTCTCTAAGTGCCTCTGTAAGAGGAAAAAGTAAGTAGCTGGTTGAAAGTCCTGTGCATAAATGAAAGTGGGAATGTGGACATGTAAGAGCCATGCTTTAGGAGTTTTTGGAGGGGTGATGCGAGGATGAAAGAAACTACCTCTATGCGTATTTCTGAACTGGCCCAGCAGCCGGGGGGGCGGGGGAGGAAGGGCGTTTTCGTCGTCCCCCCCCCCAC